GGGCCGCGACACGCGGGGCACCTGGAGTGGCTCCAGGAGCGCCGGCTCGGGCCCTAAATGGACGTTTTCGTGTTCATTTGCTTACATTGTCTGCTTAGGGCGAATGCAAATACCCATCTCTTGTAGCTATTTCGAGACGATTGCAGGGTCTCATTTTTCCTTTGCTGGGGAGCAAGGATGAAAAATTTGATAGCACTTCAGGAAGAAGTGTTAGAGTCCTTGAGGGGGGGCAGGCCCTGATTTCATCCTGTGAGAAACTCACCGAACGGCTTTCTGAAGTAGAGGTCGGGGGTGAGATGGTTTCGCGTGGTTGTTTAAAAGTGAATTGAATAATGTCGGGCTTTTCCTCACATAAAGTAAGTCTAATTCGGCAAATAGGTTGCACAGTGACGACTGGATGTGGACATTTTTCCTTAATCGGAAGAGCTAAATCTGCAGGTACAAAGTTTTGATACACATCTGCCTAACGTGCAGATGCAGTACATGTCAGTAATAACATTGTTTGCCAACTACTAAACCCTATGGGAAACAGATTTTTGATGTCAACGAAAAAGCGTGCAAGGGGAAGCAGGAGCAAAAGGCCTGTGTGCCAGGGCCCTGAGGAAATGGAACATTGCAGTCCAAAGAGGCTTCAGCGGTGCCTTCCTGTGGGTCATAGGTCAATACCCCTCCTCCCAGCAGCCTACCAGTTACCAGTTCTCCTTAACTCCATTTCCTTAATCCTGCCTAGAAACTGACTCCTTCCCGTGGTTTCCCTCCCTCTTCCACCATAACATTGAGGTCATCTTTGCTTTTCGGATTGCCAGGATGTTTTCCTAACTCATGTTATTCCCAGAAGTCCTGCCAACTCCTCTCTGAAACCCACATGGCCCTCAGGGTAATGGCTCCCAAAGCCATCTCTCATTGTCTCTGTCCTCCTCTTAACACACTTTGGGGACTCCCCCGTTGCCTATATAAAGTTAGCCTAGCAATGTGTCACCAATCCCACCCTGTCACCAAGCTGTCTTATCTTTTGGCTCTCACAAGCTGGGCCCTGTGTGTACAACACTTTCCTGGGCTAACTCCTACTCACCTACTCAACAGAGATATGGCTTTCCTGGGGAATCTTCCCTAGACAAAGTTGGATTGAGTACCTCTCCTGTATGCTCACGTGGCATCCTAAACTATCCTTTTGTAGGTCTCAGCACACTGTTCCAAATCACTCATGCCTGAGAGGATGGCAAGATCCACCATAAAAGCGTAAGCTTCGTGAGAGCTGGGACATACCCGATTATGGGCGAAGCATCTAGTTCGTTAGTAGTAGGAGTTTGGTAAATATTTGTTGAGTAAATGAAAGGATGAGTGAGTGACAATGGAGACCTTAACTAAAAGCAGCAGTAGCAAAATAGAAAAGGGGAGTTCTTCACTTAGGAGGGAGAGAGCAGTGACTGACAGTCTGTAGGAGCTAAGGGGAGAAGTCTAGAACGAGCTCAGATGTGGGCCCTGGCTGATTAGGCGGCGGCACTACTGCAAATGATTGTGATGAGGGTGGGAAAAAGGGAGAAAAGTTGGGTTCAGTATGTGCCCTGCTGATCTGGAGATGCCTGTGCAGTGCACCTAAAGCTCAAGGGAAGGATGAGGGCTGGACTGGAGAGTTGATTACCACAGTCTATTCAAAGAAAGGGCATAGAGGTGACGAGTGGATTAAGTTCAACACCATTTGACAGTCACTAGTGACAGAGCAAGAAGTTGAGTGACGTAGTGAGAATGGAATACATTTGTTTCCGATGAAAGGGGTGAGGTGAGACAACTAGTGTGTCTAAGGCTATCAGGAGTGGTTAGGGCCACACAGCAGATATGCAGAGAAGTGAGCAGTGCCTGGGTCCCCCCAAACACTGCGGCAACAGGTGAGGGGGCTAAGGTAGAGTCTGGAGGGTCAAGGGTAATATCTAGACTTCTGGCTCGGGTCTTTGGGCTTATGGGATGGACCCATTGTCTGAATAGGGAACACCAGAGAAGAGTCTGAATTGAGGGGGGAGCCTCAGAAGTCCTGAGCTCATTTTCAAATGCTTTAGGTTTTGAGGTGCATCGGAGGCATCCAAGTGGAGATGCCAGGGTAGCAGGTGAATGAATGAATGGACCCAGATCCAGGCAGAGATAAAGGTAACCACTGCCACGTGGGCATGAGGTCTCCATGGGGAGTGTATGGAGAGAAGATGGAGGAGAGCAGCCCAGCCAGAGCCCTGAAGACCCCAGCATGCAGGGGCACCAAGGTTGTAGGGCAGCGACCAAGTTGACCAGTGTTTCAGCTGGTGGGCTCATTCACTGGTTGAACTTCCTGGTGAGCCCATGGAAGAGGGAAGCCACTGGCCTGACAGCACAGTTGGCCAGGGTCAGCAGCCAGGTGGTCAGAGCTTCTGCTGTTCTGCAGGCGTGGCAGTGGCTTTGAACTTGAGAAGTTGTTTTATTTTGAAAGAGAGTAACAGTTCTTTAAAAGAGTGGTGCTAAAGGTATATTAGTCTTAAAACATTTATGAGTTTTTAAAAAGGGAAAAGCATTTTGAGAATAAAGTAGAATGCTTTTATTCAAATCCTAGAGTGTTCAAAAACCAGGACATCAGCCATGTTCTACAAAACTACCTTATTATGGTGGATGTTTTTGTTTTCTCAAAACTCAAAAGCATAAAATCATACACCCCCAAACACACACCCAAACTGGAGCCTCCTGGCTTTCAAAGAGGTTAAAACAAACCCAGTTTTTCAGAATTATTTATAAACCTGTCAGTTGTTGCTGCTCAGAATCGTTAGCACAAGTAGGTAGAAATACTTAGACTCCAATTTTCATAGACTTAGCTTTTCACGATATTTTTAAAAAATTTCTTAGAGAAGACGTTAGAGTAAGGAAGAATTTCATTTAGTAGTGCCACATATATTTTGATATCAAGTGTCTATGGCAACCCAGACACTGGGAAACATTGTTACTAGGGATTGTTTTAATATGGTTGTCCTTCCACACCCCCTCCCCCGTTTGCCTGGTTTTATTTCCCTTTCTGGATTATATTACTAAATCAGAAAGCACTGAATGTCTTAAGTTTGATTGGGTAATTACAAGAGTTCTGTTTTTCTTGATTTCTTTTTTCTTTTTTAAAAACCTTTGACTCCTGCTGAGGTTAAGACATAAACTGTCTCTAGCATACTTTAAACTGAAACAAATGTTGGGGTGTGTGATATAGTCCTGCTGTTGCAGACCAGTAGGAGAGTCAAGACAGACTACTGAGGAGCAGTGGACCTGGTCAACACACTGTTTATCTGTTAGTTCATATATTGACTTTAGTGATGCCCTTAGGACCTGGCTGGTCAGGATTTGATAGACACTTATTAACTTGGATTTGACCCTTTTTTTAATTTATTTATTTCAGGGTATTATGAGGGTACAAACATTTTGGTTACATTTTATATTATTGCCTGTCTCTAGGGGGGGGTGTGAGGGTGTGGGGGGGGTGTAGAGGCATGCCCTTCCCCCTTTACATTGCTCACCATGTCCTTTAGTTGTGAGTTTACCCCCCCTAATCTTCTATGTATGGTTCCAGTTTTAGTATATGTGCTGCCAAAGTGAGCACTGACTTTTCTTTTTTATTTAAATTAATAAAAGTGTGTAAGTTTATATGTACAAACATATATGTATGGACAGCTAGGTCGTCTATATGTTTTAGGGATGGCAGCTGTTGTGGTCAAATGTCTGGAAGGTAGATGTGCTAGATAAAGATGAGGCTGTTGTTTTGCTTTTTGTCTTCCACTTAAAACCCTCTTACATTTACTCTTTTTTTTTTTTTTTTTTTTGAGACAGAGTCTCACTCTGTTGCCCAGGCTAGAGTGCCATGGGATCAGCCTCACTCACAGCAACCTCAAACTCCTGAGCTCAAGTGATCCTCCTGCCTCAGCCTTCCTAGTAGCTGGGACTACAGGCAATGCACCACCACGCCCGGCTAATTTTTTCTATTCATATTTTTAGTTGTCCAGATAATTTCTTTCTACTTTTAGTAGAGACGGGGTCTTGCTCTTGCTCAAGGCTGGTTTGGAACTCCTGAGTTCCAGAGTGCTAGGATTACAGGTGGGCGTGAGCCACCATGCCTAGCCTACATTTATTCTTTAAATGCTTTTCTGTTGGAAGGGGACACTTATATGTCTGATTTTTCATTTCTTTGCAGAACTATAAAAGACAACATTCTTGGTCTCCCGCCTTCTGTAGTCAGATTTGTGCAGCTCTTATTCTCCTTTGAACATGGCAATTTCTAAATTTTAGAAGCATTTCAGTTTGGAACTCAAAAAAGATTCTGGGCCTGGCGTGGTGGCTCACACCTGTAATCCTAGCACTGTGGGAGGCTGAGGCGGGCAGATTGCTCAAGGTCAGGAGTTCGAAACTAGCCTGAGCAATAATGAGACCCAGTCTCTACTAAAAATAGAAAGAGGCCCCGGGCGCGGTGGCTCACACCTGTAATCCTAGCACTTTGTGGCTCACGCCTGTAATCCTAGCACTTTGGGAGGCTGAGGCGGGCGGATCGCTCAAGGTCAGGAGTTCAAAACCAGCCTGAGCGAGACCCCGTCTCTACCAAAAATAGAAAGAAATTAATTGACCAACTAAAAATATATATACAAAAAATTAGCCGGGCATGGTGGCGCATGCCTGTAGTCCCAGCTACTCGGGAGGCTGAGGCAGTAGGATCGCTGAGCCCAGGAGATTGAGGTTGCTGTGAGCCAGGCTGACGCCACGGCACTCACTCTAGCCTGGGCAACAAAGTGAGACTCTGTCTCAAAAAAAAAAAAAAAAAATAGAAAGAAATTAGCTGGACAGCTAAAAATATATATAAAAAATTAGCCGGGCATGGTGGCACATGCCTGTAGTTCCAGCTACTTGGGAGGCTGAGGCAGAAGGATTGCTTGAGCCCAGGAGTTTGAGGTTGCTGCGAGCTAGGCTGATGCCATGGCACTCTAGCCCGGGCAACAGAGTGAGACTCTGTCTCAAAAAAAAAGGTTCTGGTATGGGAAGGGTAACTTACTGAACTTCCCTTTTGGGTATCCTTTGGATGCTCAGCCTTTACTCCAGTATGTGCCTTATCAATGTCACCATTTTGTTTTTGTGAACTAGGTAGGAACAGTAATTGATTATTCTGGACAAGTTCTAATTCTGAAAGGTCATTGTTTAGACTTGACTTCAAAAGATCTTTCACTTTTTAAGTATTTTCATTTAAGAAAAGAATCTTAATTGTAGCCTGTACACAGTTTAGTCCCACACCCCAGGGTGCCCTGCCCCTTCACTCTGGAACTCTGTTGGATTTGGTCACCCTCTGACCTCAGGGACATCTCCGTCTTCCTCCTTATGCCCACCAGCAGGCCTAGGAATTCAGTCGTCTGCATGTGTACTTTTCCCTTTTTCTCTGCTATATGTTTTGTGGTGTAATCAGCCTGTCAAGGTGAATGGCCTATCTGGGCACCACTGCTTCACTCTTAAACTGCTCTTCTGTCAAAATCTGTGAAAGGCATTGTTTGTTTGTTTGTTTGTTTTGGCTTTCTTTTTTGATGTGTTCCTTTAAATATGGTTAAGAGATAAAACCAATCAGATAGGAAATACAGTTTTAATGTCTTGTACATATTAAAATATTTCTCCTGAAGTGGGTTTTATTTACTTTTCACTGAATTCAAAGGGTCAACTTAAGACATCTCAGAGTAACAAACATTCTCAGTGGTAGGACTAATAAGCATGGCTCTATATTGTGTTCACTCTTGTTTAGGTAACAAAACTAGGGTTTTATTATGTCAGGGGATATAAAATACATCAGGTCATTCTTTCTGTCCAAAGATCTCTGGAAAGTGGTAGAACTGAGACTAGCACATGTACATTAGGTTAAATTCCCTGTTTCATGCAGTTCTTTTTGCCTTGTTTGTATGTATTGTCTTAAATTCATAGCTGCTTTGTCTGGGGTAACTTAAAGAGGCTAAAGTGACCAAAGATCCCTCCCTTGTTACTTTAATAAGTAAAAGAAAAGTTAGTTGTAGCATAGGTTTCTAATAATGTTGTTCAAATGATAAGTCACTATCTCTAATGCCAGCTACAAAAATTCAACATGTATGAATTGTTTGGAACAGCATTATTGGAGGGGACTCCCTTCCCCCGTCTTATTTCTCTCCCCTTTTCCTATTCATTTTATTCCTTTGTCTAAAAGAGAACATTGGTGTGGTTCTCATTTGCTGCTTTGAACACTCCATCGCATTCTACAGTTGACTTTCTATAGGTATTCGGGATGGAACACGAAGTTTAACTTCCAATCCTAAGATTTTCCTTGAGTTTTTTTGTTTTGATTTCTGGCCTTTTTCTGTCCTGCCAGTTCCCTGTAACTATCCCATTGCCCCTGGGTTCTGCCATGGGCTGTCCCTAAGCAGCATTCAACTGAATTCATTCAGTGGGTGATTTCTGTGGAGTCGCCTATCCTGGCCATCCACAGACAGAACGTTGGCCCCGCTGGGGACCTAGGTCTGGATCCGATTGGCAACCAAGACTAGTGCTTCACTCTCTTTTGGTTTGGGGGGGGGTTGTTAGTAGCCAATTTGATCATGAAACCCTCAGCATTGGTAAGTTGATTGTACTATGCAAGGAAGATTTATCTAAAGTTAGCTGGCCTTATATAATGAAAGTTCGTCACTTTCTTGAAAGACATACAGTGGTTCAAGCTTTTGTGAGCATTAAAATGCTAGATTTATTTTTTTCATGGGGAATGGGGCATGTATTTTATATGAATAATTACCTTTTCATTCCACAAGAAGTTCAAGGCTGTGCTCCTGGAGTGCCAGGCTCCTGGGCTCCAGGAGTGGTGAGAAGCAGAACAGGGAGGCCCTGCTGTGGCTGAGGGTCGACCCTGAGAAAGGGTGTCTCCCTCCTCCTCCCTTTCTCCCTCCCCTCTCTCTCACCCACCGTCCTTCCTCCTCCTCCACCCTCGAAGCTGGCAGGTCGGAGTAGCCAAGAGGTGGAGCCCTGTGCCCATCACCCTGTCTAAGTTCTGGAAGAATCCTTTGGAGGTGCCTCCCTGCGTGCTAGGCCTGGGAGGCGGAGCCGAGCGGGTCCAAGGCTGAGGCCGCATTCCGACCAGTGCTAGTTCTCCCCCTTTGGCCTCCCCTCGCCTTCCCTCCTCTTCTGTCCCACCTCCCCCAGTGCCCCCACATCCCCTTTGTGCTCCTTTACTGTGTCCACACCCCAACGCCCCTGGAAGGCAGTGGCCTAGAGTCCCCAGGCCACATCCCTTTGAATTCCCAGTGCCAACAACTAGGGTGCCCCGTGGGGGCCGCCCGGGTCACATTGTTCTAAGAGAATGTGCAGAATCTTCCCTTTGACGGGGTTGTAGTGAAACCGAAATAAAGTAGGCTGCCAGCTTGAGTGCTTTCGTCTTAGTACTTTCTTTCATTTTGGGATCACTGTATTCTGCTCAGAACCCTGAGTTCCAATGAAGGGGGTGAACGCGGGAAGCAGTTTTTTGAAAGAATTTTTGAGTTTCCCAGATTACACTTGTATAAACTCCGCCTAAATTTTCTCCATGGGTGGGGGTGGCAGAAACTGGTGTACAAATGTACTATTTACACCCCGTGGCGTCTCCCCCACACACACACCCGACCACCTATCAAGCTTCCTGTCGGAGCTCTCTTGGCCTATTCCTGCCTTTCTGACAACATCCTGTTGTAAATGGGCGATACTTGGTGGGGTTTTGTTTATGGATTGGGGATATTTACGGAAGAATTTCTTGAGACCACTGGAGACCAATTGTTTCCTTTTCTGGGTTTTACTTGCAAAGTAAGTTTAGGAGGAAGTAAAGTTTTGAAGGAAGTATTTAGTTAGTAGAGTTCAATTAAAAAAATATCCAAGTTCAATCTTCCAAATTCCCTTTTTACCTGGGGGAGCAACTCGCTGGAGTTACTGCAGTTAAACTGGGACAGAGCACTGACATCAACAGTCCCCTCAGAGAGCCCAGAGTGGGTAGTCAGGCCAGGTCTCCAAAGCAGAGCCAGCTTGTGGGGGTGGCGGGGCAGGAGCTTCTTGCTCAGTGGTAGCCCTGACTCGTCGAGTTTAGAACAGCCCTGAGTCTTGTGCATCATAGAGCACTGCAGTGAGGACGGGTGGGGTTCCCTTTGTTCCCCACGTTTCTCTTTAGCGTTCCCCACGTTTCTCTTTAGCCTTCCCCTCTGTCCACCTGCTTTTCTAGTCTGAGTTTTCCAGTGCTTCCTGGTCCATCCCCCCTTCTGTTCCCTCAGTGCCTTTTCATCTTTCATGCCCAGCCTGAAACTGCACTTGAGAGTTAAAATCTTTTAAAGCTCACCTTCTGACAGAAAGAATTTGCTGTTTTTTACTTCATTTAAAGATTCTCAGCCAAAGAGTTGGGTAGAGGTTCCCCCATACCAAGTCCACTTAGCCCCTTGCAGGGAGGCCTCCTGTGGTCTTCATCCCAGCACGTGAGCCCCGTTTTAGACTGCTTGCCCGAAATCACACCATGCAAGCTGGTCTCGACCCCATCTCTCTGGTTTCTAAACTTTACACAATATCTGAGGGCAAACGCCTCTTTTCTCAACCTGCAGACACAAGCAAGAGGGAAGAGTGTCGAGCCCATCCTTGCCAGGTTCTATTAGGTTAGAATCACACCAGCAGGAGCAAGCTGTGTTTTCCTTTAAAAGAAAACTGACGGTCTCAGAAACTGGCAGGCCTTGTAATCTTTAGAGATGTTTAGTAAAAGGAACACCTGCCCCAAAGCCCCTGCCTGGTTCGTGTGTGGAAGCAGCGCAGAGGCTTTACTGCACTCTGGACATCTTTTTGTTCTTTGCCAGGAGCTGACACCAGAGGCTAGAGGGTCCCAGCTTCTAGGGAGTGTGTGGCTGTTCCCGAGGTGGGGGCGCAGGGGAGCACGCCATGGCCAGTGACCAGGGTGCCTCAAGGCAGCAGCTGCTTCCCCCCATCCCAATGTTTCCCGAGGTATCTGGAGACACAGACGGGTGGTGGGGTGTCACCCTAGTTAGTATTGAGTGAACTGAAGAAAACCCAAGTGGAAGGCCCAACACCCGCCGGACCCCACTTTCTGCTCCTGAGAGCAAATGTCTAATCGGTCCCTCCAGAGCTGTGGGCAAATACGCCGGTGCATTTCTTTGCTGGGTCAGTAGTTGTGAGTGCAGTGAGGTAGAGATTTGGGGCCATCCGCCTCCCCGTGGGGGGCCCGGAGTTTGGGACGTGCAGTCCGGAGAAGAGAAAAACCAGGCCTTCTCTTCCTTCATCCTCTTCCCAGGAGCTCCCCGGTCCCACCGAGCCGGGCAGCAGTGAAGGCCTGGCCAAAGTGCAGCCCCTAGAGGGGTTAGAGGGGCTGCACTCAACGCTCCGCCCGCGCCCTGCCGAGCCGTTCCCAGAGATGCCGCCGAGGGCCCCGCCTCAGCTTTCCTCCTTGGGTTCGGGAAACCAGGCGGGAAGCTGGCCGGTGCGGGCAAACGGCGCAGGTCCGGAGCGCCAATATGGGCGGCGGGCGCATGCGCGAGGGGCGCCGCTCTAGGCCCGCAGCGTCTCGGTGGCCGCCTCGTTCCTCCTCCCGCCGCGCGAGGGCGCCGCTCTAGCCCCGCGGCGTCTCGGTGGCCTCCAGTCCGCTCCGCGGCGTTTGGAGGAAATGGCTGCGAGACCCTAGAGGCCTGCGGCCCGCGGTAAGTGGCGTCCCGGCGGAGGGGCGGCCGTTGCGCGGGCCGCACGGGCGGGCGAGCGAGTGAGCGAGCGGGCAGGTGGGTGGGGCAGGCGCCGGTGCCCGGCCGCCGAGAGCCACGGAGCCCGCGCGGGCCGCTCCCGCCGAGAAGATGGCGGCGGCGGGCGGGGGCGCGGGGCGGGGACTCGACGCGGGCGGGCGGTGGGGCCGGAGCGGGGAGCCTTGCCAAGCCGGCTGGGGGGTCGGGCTCCGGCCGGGTTTGGGCCCGCCCGGCCCTCCAGCCATCCCCGCGGTCTCGGGGAGGGGCGCGCCCTGGCGTGCGGGGCCGGGGAGCTCGCGGAAGGCCTGCGTCGCGTCCCCAGAGGACGGTGTGTACTAGCCTCACCGCGCTGGGTTAGTTTTTTAACGAGTCGTGCGTTAGTTTGACGAACACTGGCCACATTTGTGACGCATTTCATCCTCCAGTAGCCCTGGAAGCAGAAAGGGGCCACCCGGGCTTGGGGCCCTGCCCCGCGCCGCCTCCGCGGCTCGGCCTCAGTTCGAGGCGCCTCGATGCGCGAGCTGAGAGTTTGGGCCTTGGGTAGTAACGAGGGTTAGGAGTTACTGAAGTTACTCTTAACTGTGCGTGGGCCGCAGAGGGTGACATCCGAGTCACCTGCATGGCTATGGAATGAGGTTTGAGCCTGGAGGAAGAGGCAAGTGTGAAGGTCGTGTCAGTGTGTTCACGTAGCCTCGTGGTACCCACCACGTTCCGTGGTTTCCCCAGGGCCACATATGCCCTGGCCAAAATAAGCTTCCAAGAAAAATGCTTTACCCCATGCATTTCAAGGAAGTAAATACGTACCTTGGTTTATTCCGGGAATGTTTATTGCATTCTGTGTTAAATGGAGGGATACAGCAGTGACCAAGAAGGCTCCTGTTCCAGTCCTGCTGGAGAGGTTGTTAGTGGGGAACTTGAGAGCTTATTCCAGCTCCTTCCTTTAAATTGAGTTTTGCCAACTCATGTACCCTGGAGCCTAGAGCTCTTCAATGACACTTTGGGTAGGTGTGTATTTACATATTTGTCTCTGTAACTAGTCCACTATTTTACCATTTTAAACACTGTAGAAATCTCAGAAGTGTCACCTAGGAAGACCCAGACCCAGCCTTGCTGTGAAACTTCATGCCTAATGTGTGGTCCAAGCATTTTAGCTTTCCTGCTTGTTGTGTGCATGGGAAATAGTCTGTTCGTGCAGACTTTTTTTTTTTTTTTTTTTTTTTGAGACAGTCTCTCTTTGTTGCCTGGGCTAGAGTGCAGTGGCGTCAGCCTAGCCTAGCTCACAGCAACCTCAAACTCCTGGGCTCAAGTGATCCTTCTGCCTCTGCCTCCCGAGTAGCTGGGACGACAGGCATGTGCCACCATGCCCGGCTAATTTTTTCTATATATTTTTAGTTGGCCAATTAATTTATTTCTATTTATAGTAGAGATGGGGTCTCGCTCTTGCTCAGGCTGGTTTCGAACTCCTGACCTTCAGCTATCTGCCCGCCTTGGCCTCTCAGAGTGCTAGGATTTACAGGCGTGAGCTACCGTGCTCCGCCATGCAGACTTGTTTTAACAGAGTTTCATGTGTAAGTTGCTCCCTGTTTTGTTTTAGAATAATTTGTATTTTTAATTTTCTTGTGGCTTTCCACCAAAAGCCGTCTATTTTTAGTAGTTGATTAAATTCAGGCTATTTCAGGCAAAGTGAGTTGTGTTGTGATAAGAAAGGGCACAGGTAAAATACGAAGTTGTGCAGTTGACTGCCCCTGACTGGTGCTATGGTTACTGCTTTCTTCCCTGGCAAACAGTGTGAGGGCATCACAATGGCTGAGTGAGGACAAGTGTCATTGCCAGGTGGTTCAGTTGGGTCTTAAAGGGTGGACAGGGTTGTCTTCAGGTGAGGAGGGAGAGATTGGAATGGGTACTTTGAGTGCCGTTCTCTCTGGTGAAGTTTGCAGGTCCCACTGTTGATACTGTAAGTCTTCCCCATAGTCTTGGAGTCCCAATTCCCCTCAAGTCAATTCTGGGCAGCCCAAGGGAGTGGTTTTTCTGTAGTATTTATTTGTCAGCTGTGCCAGGTCCTGATAGTTTTATACTTCTGCTAACAATACACATTTTACCTTTTTTACGCACCACCTGTCCCATGATACCAAGTGGCTTTACTCTTAAAGAGGAAAGATTGAACATGTTCAACAAGCCAGCTTACTGTTGCCCTTGAGTCCTACACTGTGGCACATGTGTGATTGGCCTCATTTCTGGTGGGCTCAGAAGTCCATTAGGGAATTTTCCCTAAGTGGAGTCTCCAGTTTGCTTTCTTTAATGGTGGAGTCCTGACAGTGAATGTCCAATATTAGCCTCTTTGTGGCTAGGATCAAATCATATATGTTTGTTCCATTCCAGAGGTTATGATGATTAACAGTTAGTGGAAATGTTAATTGGGAAGGAGGGCAAAGAAGAGAGTCAGAATTGAGCTCACTGCCTCCAAGTGTGATACGGTCTGTGTTGCCAAGGCCTCCTTTTATTTTTTTGAGTGGTAATTTTGAGAGTAAGTTGAATAGGTTATTGTACATATTTTAATGAGATTTCCCTAGCCATGACTATAAAACTTAATAGGTGGTAATTCGTGTGTATAATTCGTAAAGCGGATATTTCTCTCTTTGGTTGTCAAACTTAGACACTTGGTTTTGTTTTTCATTTGTTGATAGAGACATTTAAGTGGTATTTAATATACTTTTATAGAAAGATTAAACCAGTTTTTTCCCCAAGACAAAGATGGCTTTAGTGTGTTTGGTTACAAAGATAATCCGTATGTAGAACATTTAAGCAGCATGTCTAGATAGAAAGTAAAAGCACAAGCAAGGGCACCATTACAGTTGTCACATGTTGGTGACCTGATTGTGTGTCTGGCGGGTGCATTAGAGAATGTGGCCCCTGCCTGGCTGGCTTGTCACCTGCTCTGTTTGCTCAGGTGCTGTGGAATGGTGAACCAAGGGATTCATCGTCCTTTAATTTTGGCATTAAAGAATTCCAGTATATAGGTGTTTCTTGATTTTTTTTTTTTTTTTGATGATGATGGATGTTAGTTTGTGTTCAGTTTGTGACCTTTGTAAAACAAACCCAAAATCTCTCATAAATTTGTGTGTACTTACCAGTTACCTCTGCTAGGTCACAGGGAAGTACTCCCTGCCCTCTCCATGAAAACAGGGGTCACCTTCTCTCTTCCCTGTGCCCAGCACTTAGTGGGTTCTTGGTCAATATTTGTCAAAGTAGACTCATCTAGGAGGGCTTGTTTCCCCAAACCCTTGCAGAATACAGCCTTGTTTTAATAGCTGACACCTGCCATTGGTGTGCTTTCCAGCAGAGTGCTGTGCTGATTGGGCTCTTGACACCATGTAGTTTCAGAAAACCTTTCAGGAAACAGATTAGTATTGTCCCCGCTTCACAGGTAGGGAAGTGCAGCTGGGGGAAGAGTGCACATTGGAGCTCGGATTGAAGCCTCTATTCTTACCCCCTTCTCCCTTAAGCCCCACCCCCTAACTGAGGCCTAACTGCCTAACTGAGGAGGACTTGCCCTGGTAGTAAATGTCTAGGCAGAGGGAGGGATCTTGTGGTGGTGGTGGGGGGGGGACACTGCTGGCTGAAGCCTTTAGGACCAGGAATATAGTGAACCTGCCCTGAGGAGTGGCCTGTGAGGTGCCCCTGGAGACACGCAGGCCACATGGACCCTAGCTGTATACTCTTTGGATTTGTTGGATTATAACTTAAAGACAGTGTTTTCCTTTTTACAACATTTTTTTTTAGTAGTAAAATATCCTTTCTTTTCTCCCCATGGATGCAGTAATAATACGAGTACTTGGAAGTTGCTTCTTAGGCTTGACTATCTATCAAATTCAGGTGTGTGTGTATCTGTAAAAATTGATGCAGAAAATCCTGTTATTTATGCTGAAACTCCTTTGTCTTGAACTTGAACCACTGTCTCCCAAAACAAAACTAGGCATTGGCCTTTGCTAATCCCAGGGAAAGAAAGGAGTGTTGAGCTGAAATAAAAAGTTAATTCTTGACTTGAGTTTCCAAGGTCCTTAAGCATTAATTTTGCCCCATGGGCTGTGGCTTTAAAGGCCCCATGGCCTTTAAAAGTTACAGCTTCACCTAGAGAAGCAAATGCTGTAAGAGAAGGCTTTTTTTTTTTTTTTTTTTTTTTTTTTTTTGAGATAGTGTGGGTCTCAAGTGCCCAGGCTGGAGTACAATCTTGAGATCATAGCTCACTGCAGCCTTGAACTCCTGGGCTCAAGTGTTCTTTCTGAGTATCTGGACTGTAGGTACACACTACCACACCTGATCTTTTTTTCTTCTTTTTTTTCTTTTGCGCACGTGTGTGTGTGTGTGTGTAACCTCATTCTCTTTACCTGAACCTAGGTGGCAGTCAGTTTCATACTTGGCAATTGCTACTTTCTCAGTAATCACATGAACTGAATGAGAAAAGGCAAGGGGTGTCTGGAAAAATCAAATGCTGAAGCAGTACTTGCCACTGTCTTTCTGGTCCTGGCTGAGTGGGAAGGGCAACGGGATTTCTCTTGACTCTTGGAGGAGCCACCATAGGGGAAAGCTCTGCTCTGTGCCAGCCATTCTCAGACTTTTGAACTCAGGAGCTCTTTGCACTCCTAAAAATTACTCATGACCCCAAAGAGCTTTTGTTTATTTGTTTATATCTATCAATACTCACCATATTTGACATTAAAAATGAGTCATTTAAATTTTTTATTCATTTTTAATACCTTCATTTAAAGTAGCAAGTCATTACATATTAACATAAATGACATTTTGTAGGAACCATTTTCCAGGACCAAAACAATTTAATGAGAAAGGTGGCATTGTTTTATGTTTTTACTAATCTGACTTAACTGACAACAGCTGGATTCGCACATCTGCTTCTGTATTCAAGCTGTAATATTCTAGTCATTTAGCTTTTGGAAAACTCTATCATA